GGCAAGCGACCTGAGAGCGCGATTCGCTCTCAGGTTGCGAATCGCTGCAATCGCTATCGCATCTCGTGTGTTAGGTTTCACCCTGGCTGCGATGACAGCTGTTAATCGCTGTAGTTTGTCGCTCCCCGTGTGTCGAGCCCTTTAACCTGTCGGCTCATTGTCTTAATGTGGAAAGAGGTGTGGATCAGGATATCACTAGTTAAAAGTGCCTTCACATCCTCATGTAACACATTCACTTCAAACGGAGCTGAGTCAAGATTCAGTATCACAAGATTGATACAACAAAAGCACATTTCATTTTCAGAAACTAAATAAATCCATAAATTAACTGGTTCAGGTCATTTGGACTTTGGGTAAATTCGGTCASTTATTTAGTTGAAACACTTTCAGATTCCTGTTATCTTGTTCATACAAGAGGAAAAGCATATCCACCATGAGATAATACTGTTTGATACTATCTTGTTCCTGTTGACTTGTCCATGCTTTCGAACATGCGGCTCCCTTGCATTAAAGCCGATACCTGTGACCAAGTGATTTAATCAGGGATCCRGAGCAGAGATGAATTACAGTGGACACACAACACTAATTAATGTAGTACTTTGCACGCACTCTAAAGCTTCACCTTCTGCTGATGCCAGCCAGGTTTCTAATTAATGACAGAGGAGCTCCGGTGTTTGTTGGAGAGCTTTTCAAAAGCATCTCTTCCGTTCGGCTCGCTGACGCACCTATCCATCCCATATGCAGATTAGAGCAGGAAGTGGGAAAAACATCACTAATGATTTTGAAAACAAGAGGCAGAAATATCCAGGCTAAATCCAATTTATGCTGCAAATTATGGTAAATGCAACAAGATCGCAACACTATATCATAATCTTTTTCATCAGCGTGACAGCAAACACTCCGAATCTCTCGCATGGCTCATTTACTCGAAGATGTGATAGTGGCAGGAAGTTATGACAGGTGTCAAGAAGGAAGTACACCTTAAAAAAATAAAAGCATGGTTGAGGACATTTTTGTGAGGGCAAGTCTTAAAGGTTCTACTCAGATCGTGTTTGCTTAAGGTACTAAACAAATTAGAAGATGGACCAAGAGGTAAACGTGGAGACTGCAGAGTTTGCAGTCTACATAAACTGCCTGGATGAATAATTTCTTGGTCTCAGTGAAAAATGGTTGCAGGTATATTATGCTCAGGTTACTTTATGCAGCCTATATTTATATTGAAATTTAGGTCAAATGTATGGCTTATGTTACTGTTATAGGTTTGGAATTAAGAAGGAAGAGTCCAGTAGTAAGTGATACCAAGCAAACACAAAGGCAGCATTTTGTGTATTTTATTACCTTACTATAAAAACATGATCTGCCTTGCAAACTTTTAAATAATTTGACAAAAAAATAACCGCATAACCTAACAAGAAATCAACAACCTTCAGAAGCTGACTAAGAGAGGAAAGAACCGTCCGACTTAAGCAGCTTTCAGAGCCAAGAAACACGTTCGGAAAAATCAACGTTTTGAGTTTTAGTGTTTGTTTTGTAGGTATGCTCAGGCTTGCTCTCTCCAATCAAATTAATGCCTTTATAAATGACTCGGACAGTAGATTTTGTTACTCCTGGAGCCACAAAACAGAAGAACAGATTAGACCAACAAGACCCTGCTTTTATATTAGTTTGTCACAGTGATTGCAAAGTTTCTGAAAAGTAGCTTTGGGCAGAGTAAAGAACAATGGGCCTCATGCAAGAACCGTTCGTACGCACAGATTTGTTCTTAAGTTGTGCGTACGAGTGATTTAGGAGAATTTGTGGCATTCACCAATGTTCTGAATTTTCACCAATATTCTACGATTTTTTTCAGATACGAACAAAATTTACGAGTGGTCCAGACCTGTCGTATATTTTACGTGAAGTC